AATGAGAGTAATAGGTTTGATAAGATACAAAAGATAAAAAAGTAGGGCCTTCCTGGTGGCGCAAGTGGTTAAGTCTTAGTACTATGAAGACTGTCCTCAGCCACTACAGCATTCCACCCCAGGCCAGGGAGCTAACACACAAGGTGTAGCAGACCTCTCCTGTCTTGCCTGCAGCTCTTCTCAGCAGTGTAGTTCAGTGGATCTGCCTATTCTGCTCCCCAGTCTGTCTCTAGTGAATCCTCTCAACTCCCATACCTCTGGACTGTATCCCAATTCTTGTATGCTTAACTAAATAATTTTTTTTTTTCTTAAAGGCATATAAGTAAACTGTGACCAGCAACCTGGAAAGATATTTTTCTTATGCAATCTGAGGTGTGGCTAAAACTTTAAGAATGATTCTAGTCTAAGATATAAGAATTGAAGCCATAAAATACCTGGAAACAAAGACGGGTGAAACACTACACGACATACACTTCAGTAACATCTTTCAAGATATAGCACCCAACTCAATGATAGTGAAGGAAAGGATAAATAGATGGGACTACATCAACTTCTGTACAGCAAAAGAAACATTACAAAAACAAACAGACATTCCACTGATTGGGAAAAAAATTTCTCACAGAAAACTAGTGATAAGACCGATCACAAAGATATACAAAGAACTGATGAAACTCAACAAAAATAAACAACCCCATCAGAAAATGGGCAGAAGAGTTACAAAGATACTTCTCTAAAGAAGAAATGCAGATGGCCAACAAGCATATGAAAAAATGTTCAACATCACTCATAATAAGGGTGATGCAAATTAAAACCATAAAGAGATAACACCTCACACTAGTGAGAATGGCACATCTTAAAACAAGTAGCAACAAATGTTGGTGAAGATGTGGAGAAAAAGGAACTCTCCTGCACAGCTGGTGGGAATGCAAACTAGTACAACCACCACAGAAAACTGTTTGGAGGTTCTTCAAACTGCTAAAAATGGAGCTTCCATATGACCCAGCCATCCCACTCCTAGGTATCTACCCAAAAGACACAAAAATACTCATGTATTTT